CACACACACACACACACACACACACACACACACACACACACACACACACACGCACACACACACACACACACACACCGAACATGAGATGCAGCAACTGTCGTGTGGTTTTATTTAAAAAAAGTTTTTTTAGAGGCTATATTTTCAGGTCACAAAAAAAAAAAAAGATTTTTAAAAGATTTTCTCAAATCAAAGCTCCAGCTGTGAGAAGGACCTGCATGGGTGTACCTCTTCATCATCGTCCATGTACTGCTTGTATCTCTGCTCCATCATCTCTCTCTGCCACCTCTCCTGCTCCAGAGTCTGCTGGATCAGCTGAGCCACCTCACTCTGCTCTCCGGGCTTTTCTCGGCCAATCAGGAACCTAAAAATAAAAATAAACATCAATTTCAACCCAAACATTTAAATGATTTAGGTTACTGAAACAAATCAAAAACATCAAAACTCCCAAAAGTGCAAAAGAAAAAAGTAGAACTAGCTGTGAAATATGCAGTTAATAGCAAAAAGATGTGCTGATCATCACATATTGCGTGTGTGTGTGTGTGTGTGGGGGGGGGGACGACTGACCTGACTTTGCCTGATGTATTGCGGAGAACAGAGGCAGCAAAGCTCTGAGTGACACCCACCAGACTGGTCCCATCAACTTCCACTATCAGATCATTCATCTGGATCCTGACAACATGGAGAGAAGTCCATGAACGCAGCAATGTGTTTTGCACAAACATATTTTCTTTATTTAATCTTCACCAGGGCTTAATTTGAGCTGGATCCTACCAGAACAGGATCCGGGAACTCTCTTATTTTGACAGGGTATGTTACAGTAACTGTTTGTTTGGATCCGTTAACTCTCAGGTTTACTAATAATAAAGTTATTAGCAAATATGACTGCCTTGAATTAATAAAACATGTATTGGATATGTAATCTGAAAATATATCCATAAACACTCGTTTTAAACACAACAGCCACTTACGAGCTTCTTAATATCATATCGGAGTATTATCACACACATGTCCCTTCAATAAGCATTTCCACTTCTACCCTTAAAAAAATCTCCGCCCCTAAAAGTTCAGTCACCGGCTATTTAATTAAAAAAACAAAAATAAAATTAAACAGCACAACTAAATTGCAAATCAGTTTTACAGTATATGTGGGGGTCATTAATAAAATTTTATTATATATGAAAAACACGAGAGAAATGTTTGATGGGTAATCATGTTATTTACATCAAGTATCAAAACAACGGTGCCAATTTGTCAAAATAACAGCAATCAAAATGTTGAAAAGAAAGTCCAATTAATTTTCATTTAAAAAAGTCTTCTCATTGTATAACTAAACAAATGAGAATTGAAGCACATGTAGGCAGTGGAGATAGAACTGGAGCAGGAGCGAGGATGCTTGAGAGAAACAGAGCGTACTCTATTCACACAGGGGGAGCTGTTGTTCAGGACACTTCTTGTTGCTCTCTAAAATAGTTCTTGAATCAAGTGTTTACTTATGTAGGTAAACGTAGATGTTTAACAATCTGTTAAAATACACCAGAATGCAGGAAATGGCATCTACTTTATTCAGAAATTTCTGGGGGAGAACCCCTCCCCTGCTATTTGCGTTCCGGCATCGTTTGGTTTACAAATTAAGACCTGGTCTTCACAAAACGGTCACTGACATTTGGCTCAGAGAAAGAAAGTAGACACAAAAACAGTTTCAGAATGACTCTAAGACACAAACAAGACCCAAGACTTGCACATTTTAATGTAAGGAAAGGTTTTGAACAGTAAATATCTTACCTGTTGTAGATAACTGATAAGCCTCAATTTAGACAGTTTAATTCTTAGTGGTTTGTGCAGATGCCGTTTCATAAAATGTTTCTACATTGCTAACAATTTAGCGTACACGGTTATTTGCACATCATTTGGTGGTTATTTGCAAACATAAATAGCAACAGCAGCAGCTAGCTGTAGCACTTCCAGATCTAATATTTCAGAAAGAGTCGCTGCGTACTGAGAAATTGATGGCAGTGCAAATGTTTAAAAACGTGTGTTTGCACGAGTCAGCAAGAAATGTTGTAGATGTGTTTCAAATCAGCAGATTTTGTTTTGGAAGTGGGTCCTCGGACCATCACCAGGATCTGAATGAGCCCACCTGTGGATCTGAATGAGCCCACCTGTGAAGAGGTTCTGCATGTTGTAAAACAACTCCAGACGTCAAAATGCAAGTGTTATTATTAAAACCTTTACACTGGCATCAATGACTGCATAGTTATTCAGGCAGAAACATTTTCTAATTCCAGCTGATTATGACACATTTAGCTGCTGCCACCACTGACTAACACCCAAAAACATCAAATACATCTTCTTCTATCGGCTGCTCTCTTCTTCAGGGTCACCACAGTGAAGTAACTCGCACGAAGACTTGATGATTGTTTTTACGCCAGATGTTCTTCCTGACTCAACCACAGACACCGAGCTGCCACAGCCCTCTGTGAGGAGCAGAGAGCTGCTGTCTAGGGTCTCCGGGGGAGGGTTAAGAGCCTTGCTCAAGGGCCCAGAGTGGGGCAAATGAGGAAGGAGACAGATGTGGGTGCTTCATCTTTCCCACCCAAATTTTTGATGTTGTCCGTCCGGGGAGTTGAACTGGCAACCTTCCGATCACTTCTCTACCTTCTGCGCCACCACTCCCCTCAAAAACATCACGTAAATAAATAACGTGAAACGGAAGTGAATTCAACATATATTTTTTAAATAATGTTTGCATTGAGCAGATTTATTCTAGATTAGAGGTGCTATAAGACGCAGCAGTCCACTTTGGTCTTGGCTGAATTGGGACTAGCTCGTTAATCTGGTCAGGATTAACGTTTATCTCTCCAAACTGAAGTAGTTCACACAGCTTCATTTAACATGTAAGATATTCACTGTTCATACCCTTTCCATCCATCCATCCATCCATCCATGCATCCATCCATCCATGCATCCATCCATCCATGCATCCATCCATCCATCCATCCATCCATGCATCCATCCATCCATCCATCCATCCATGCATCCATCCATCCATCCATGCATCCATCCATCCATCCATCAATGCATCCATCCATCCATGCATCCATCCATGCATCCATCCATCCATCCATGCATCCATCCATCCATCCATCTATCCATGCATCCATCCATCCATGCATCCATCCATGCATCCATCCAT